ACTTCTCTAAATCACAGAATCTGAGAGTTAGGAAGGACTCCAGGGGCTTTCTAGTTCAGCTCAGACATGAAAGGAATCCCCACTACAAATGTAGCAGAGACGTGGATATCCCTCCTCTACTTAAAGACCTCCAGGGAGAAGGAAACCACCCATTTCACTTTTAGATAGCCCGAAGCTTGGGAAGTTGTTTTTTTCCTGACAATAAGCCTAAAATGGCTTCTTTATAACCTACATCTTTTGCTCCTTCTACCCTCTGGATCCGAATGGATCCAAATCTAATCCTCTCCTCCACGGGCTGGACGTGTGACCCAGAGAAAGTTGTTCCATCTCCTTGGGTCTCGGTTTCTTTTGCAAAACGAAGAGGCTGAACTACATGGCCTCTGAGGTCCCTCCCACCTCCAGGGCAACATGTGACCCCATAAAGACTTGCTGCCTCAGGGTTCTCATCTGACAATGAAACCTTGTTCATTCCCAGTGGAACTCAAGCCCGGGGAAGATACATTTGAAAGGCAAACATGATGTCCCTCACTTTTCTACCAGGGTAGGCAGGACAGTCCCGGCCACGCAAAGACAAAACAAAACAAAACAAAAGCACACCACACCACAAGGAACCAATTTAGGAACTGGCTTGGCTAGTCTGCGACAGACATAATCTGCCTTTGTATCCTGTGGATACCTCTCCTCCATGGAGCCGCTGTCCTAAACCAACAACTTTTCATGGCCCTCCTCAGTTCAAGCAGGCACAGAATCCCATTTCTCTGAACACAGCCCCACCTCCCCATCCCCTTGTCTCTACTGAAAACACAGGGAGCCTGGGACTTGTGCTCTGCCTCTGGTAGTGAAACAGCCAAAAGCAGTGTAGTGCTGACTGTCTTGGGAACCTCTGGGAGGGAAAATTCCTTGGGAGCCAGAGGGGAAGCCTCCTTTCATCATATGGAGGCATTTTTTCATTCATCATTTTGTCAAACCCTCAAATTATCTTGCTTGTCACGTATAACCTGTATAAAATTGCTTGCCCTCTTGACGAGGGGCAAGGGGAAAGAGGGAGAGAATTTGGAACTCAAAATTTTTAAAAAAACAACTGTTAAAAGCTTTTACATGTAATTAGAAAAAATATTTTTAAAATTCAAAAAAATTATTCTGCTTGTTGGCCCCAAAGATAAACAGTATAAACTCCGATGGGAGAACAAAATTTCCCCCCAAAATCAGGGAAATCAGTCATATACTTTTCATTCTATCGGTCTACTTGAGAACGTGGATTCCACTTGGCCTGATGTGGGTAGGTAGAATGGGGAATCAGGGTCAAATGTCCTCACCAGGAAGCTCGTTTTGCTATTCCAAAAAGGATTGGGTATTGAAAAAGACATATATAAGTTGTCAGCTTATGGCTTAATTTCATTTCTCCAACTAGGCACCATTGGTGACATGGTGCTATTAGGCATGGCTTAAAGGATACATGCTGAGCAAATAGCAGAATACAAATGTTTAGCAAAACTGCACTCTAATTATCTCCAGATCAGCCTGACATCTTAGTTTTACCAACATGCTAATAGAGGATAAGTACATTTTTATTAGCATCACATACCTTCTCAACAATCTAATGACTCCTGGGATTCCTGAAAGCTATACAATATATAGAGACTGGACCTGGGGTGTTTTACAACCGGCTCTCCAGGGAGAAAAAAAATAAACGTTTTCTCCAACACTCAAATCTAGACAATCAACCAAGCCCTGATTTATAGTGTGTGATGATTTCCAAGGCATAAACGCTCACGCTGAAAATTTACAATCTAGCTGCAGAACACCACAGAGTAGAAGGAAATTTCAAAGGAAGAAATGCCCTCTACCAGTGCAGGTTGGCACCTTCTCTGCAACTTATGGTTTTCGAGAGCTGTCTAGAACACTGAGAGGCTGTGATTTGCCTGGGGTCACACAGCCAGTATGTTTCAGAACAAGACTTAATCCAGTCTTCCCGGATTTGATGCCAGCGCTCTATCTCCTAAGTGATGCCAAAAATTCCAACCCAAGGAACAGGAATTAGGATCTCGTCGGTTGTGCTTTACAATACCCCAAACTCAACCTTCACTGACTGTTTTCCATGCCTGAGATGTTCTTCTTCCTCATCTCCACCTCCTGGCTTCCATCAAGTTCAAGTGAAAATCCCACCTTCTACAGGAAGCTTTTCCCAATATTCCTCATTTCTGATGCCTTCCCCCTTTTATTCATTTGCATATATCCTATGGATAGCTGGTTTGTACATGATTGTTCTCAAGATGTCTCTCTCATTAGACTATGAGCTTTTTGAGAGCAGGGATTGTCTTTTATCTTTCTCTGTATCCCCAGCACTTAGCACAAAGCCTGGCTCACACAGCGGGGCCCTTAATAAATGTTTATTGACTGACTGGCCTTCCCTATTATTTTGAACTCCAGTACTTAATGGCCCCATGATGTCAACAAAGTAGATTTTCTGCCAAGGATGAATATGGCAAACCACACACACCTGGCAATCCTGTGCAATTGTCATTCATGTCCACCAAGATATGGAGTTCACACAATGTGCTGGGACCTTTCCTCAGTTTCTCTGGCCATTTTGAGAATATTAGTAGAATGTACTACATTCTTTAAAATTAGCAGCATTGCCTAAGCAGGAAGCTATAATCCTAACTGAAATTAATGTACCTGAAGAAAATAGTGTTTGTAAAGTTTTTTTCTTTGCTAAAATTTATTGTTAGGATTTCAGTGTTGAGAAGAAAATGAGTTTTAAGCATGGTTTGCCTCTAGAGAAAAAGCTGTCAAAGCCTGTTTGGTTGGGTTTTTTTTAATCAACAGGAATGAGGTGATACACTTTCATATTCAAGGTTTCTGATACTGTAGGGTGGAACTCCAGGACAGCATGAAGATAAAGGAAGAGTAGTGGCAAAGCCACCAATGACTCAAGGTCACTACCAGAACCAGCCCCATGAGAAACAGAACTCTGCCAGGGAGTCACTAAACACGCCCATTTCTTTTCACCACATCTGGGGAGGGGGGAAAAATATCATTGTCTCTTGATTCTCAACCACAACAGGCATGGTGAGGTAGGGTCCAGTCTTACAACTGTCAAATGTTAGAATGCACTTTAGGCAAAAGAAAGATGATTTCCCATGCAAGCTACACACCTGAACACAGGAGCTGTTCAGTAAATACCAATGGACTGATAGATTTTTAAGTCAAATAGGTCAAAAGGCAAAGGGGCATAGTGTCTATTCATGCATTACTGGGACTGAAATACCCAAATGAAGCAGTTATCCTTCTGAATGCATCCTGATATTTAATTCTGGGAGGAGTTACTTGCCCTACCTAATAAATTCGAAGCAAGATATACCCTAACCCCTGTAAGTCAGGTGCAAAGCCTTCTGAAAAGAAGGTTATCTGGGGAGATAAGAGAAGATACAGGAGACAAAACATGGGGAGTAACTGCAGTGCTAAAGTCTAGTCCTGCTTAGACATTTGCTTTTCCTCTGGATCTTTTGTTTCTGCCTTTCCAATTTTACACAGCTATTGATTTCTCTGGCCTCACAAGCAGATACCCCCGACAGCAGCATGGTCCATGCTCTAGAGACCAACCTTATGGGCAGGGGTTTCCCAAGGCTCTGCTGGAGAGGAGGTAAGTGGCTCAGAGTCAAGATTCCAACTTGAAGAGGGAAGAGTTGAAAAGACCCCCCCTCCAACTCAATTTTAAGAGAACAGTTTTACTTATTCACATGGTTTCCTTCTGTTTTCATTAATCTCTTCTTATGTCTCAGAAACTGCTACAGAGGAGGACAAAGACTATAATAAAGGTCTCTCATACAAGCCCATCATTGTCACATTCCCTCCATCCTTCCCTCCAGACTCCAGACCCTGATGGCTTCTCTGGCTCCATCTTTCTTCCTAGTTACCCAAGTATGAAAGTGTCCTTATTTTTCCCAATTTTGCACTGAGCAAGAACTTTGTAGGTGTGCAGACAGATTTATTTCTTTCTGCTTTTATGTGCAGAAGGGATTTTAAGCACCAGTTATGTCCCAAGAAATTCCAGGCAAGGATACAACTGCAGTTACCATGAGACCATTTTTTGGGGGGAGAGGGTTCTGCCATGAAGTTCCTTTAAATACTGAGCACCCACAATGCACCTTAAAATATATTACCAAACATATTTATAGACAATTGTTCAAGAACAAAGTGGGGTTAAATGAGGGGTCTGGTTTTTTTTTTACAAATCTAAAATAAAACATCTGATTTATAAGGAAATGGCTAAAAGGCATCAGAAGAGTAGGGAAGATTGGTTCTAAACTGACTAGTAAAAGGGTCAAATCTCCTTTTCTGACACTTAAAAAAATTTCTCAGAGACCAAGAGCCCGAAACCAAGGATACTGCTTCTTACCCCCAATTATTCTCCTGTCTTTTCCCATTTTTTTTCTTCATGCCAAATCTACAGAGCTATGAAATGAAGGGCTACCAGAACTGAGGCAGTGTTGTAAGCCCATCTGAATCATTCAGGCAAGAAAATTCAAGCAAAAAACATTTATTAAGCATCTACCATGTACAAGACATTAAGCTAGGCCCTGAGAGAGATACTGTTTTCTACCTGTTTAGCTAGGCAATTTGGGTATTTAAAAAAAAAAAAAGATTTGTGAGGACAAGTGGATTTTCAGAGATTTAGAGCTGGAAAAGACCTTCTAGGTCATCAAGTCCAACTACTTTGTTTCACAGATGAGGAAACTAGAGGACCTGAAACTGGGCCTGGAAATGACCTGCCTAAGGTCACATTGGTAATAAATATCAGAGGCGGGATCTGAACCCAGGTCCTCTTGACTCCAGAGCCAGGGCACTGTTCTCCTGTACCAAGTGTCTCTCCGAGGTGAGGCCCCTGTGGAGGGAAACGTCCGGACTCCTAGTTCTCTGATTCCTGGGCATAGCCAGGAAGCCTCCATCTCCCCCCTCCCCACCCTGTGGGGGGGGCAGCCTTCCAGGAGGTTTACCTGGTCTGATGGGGCTCTGCAGGCAGTTCTGAGAGGAGATGCTGGGGTGCACCGAGGTGGAGGCCCGGCTGCTGAGGTCCATGACAGAGGGGGCAGCTGAGGTTGCTGGCGGTAGCCCAGGAGGGTGGGGGCTGTGGTCATGCTGAGAGGGGCTGGGGGGGATGCCATTTTCTGACAAGAATTCTTCCAAGTCCATATATTCCAACTGGAAAGTATCTCCGTCATAGGGAAGGGTTTTGTCCCACAAAGTGGGCCCCAAGAAAGCAGACTGGGGGACCATAGGGCTACTGTTGTCATCATCCAGCTTCTTCTTGTCTTTTTCTTTACCAAATGCTATAAAAGAAAACAAAAGTTGATTTTTTTTCTTTTTAGGGAAAACAAATTCTGCTTCTTCTCTACCCCACTAATCTCCCCTTCCAAAAACCACTAGGGGAATTTTCTCATCCCAAATGGCACTATGTCCTGCTGCATCTGTCCTCAGTGGACCTCAGGTAATCCAGAGTTAAAAAATCAGGCTGGATGTGGAGTTCTGTCTGCTTTTCGCAATCTCCCTATTTACTTTGGAAAGAGGCAACTGCTTTACTGGTTGGGGTTTCAGCATGAGCTAAGATAAAAACTTGCAGTCTAAGACTGATCCGTGAGCGCCCACAGTGGGACAATCAGTTGAACAGTTGAGTTCTGTCTGAGGAGATAAAAAATTTACATGTACAGTAGGGGAGAATTTTTACTGTGATTATTTACAACCTGGGTTAAATATTTGGATTTTACACATACATTCACTCACTCACTATACTGTTATATCTCAATCCCAATCAACCCTATGTAGGGTTCATAAAAATCCAGATTTGCAAAACACATTAATTATTCAGAGGGGCTGTTTGATAAAAGGCTCCTTCTCCTTATAAAAGGGCACGGAGATATTCCTTCAAATGCCAAATACCCGAGGATATTTTAAGATGATTTCGCTTAAAAAAAAAATAAACCGTATTTGTATACAACTTTTCAAGAACACAGCTGTTGCTTAACAGAGAGAAAGCACCAGCACACACACGGTACTAACACGTGTGCATGCAGCTATCTTGTATAGGCAAATACCTGATATTTCATTCCATTTATAATTGATCATTTGACATTTGTCAATTTCAACCGAATAAAGTCTCCAAGGGGAATCTGGCCCCTAAGTAACTGGTTTCAACTCTGTAAACACCACATTCGTAAGTGCTGTCAACTTCCTGACAGCTTGGATTAAAATGCTGAACATAGTCAAGCTAAAATATATTAGTTCCTTCACGTGTCCTTTTTCTTCCAGAGTGGGTGGAGAGAGGGGATTACAAGCATTCTGCATTTCGGGAATTTAACAAGTCCCTTAAATTCGTAGCAACAAGTCTAGATTAAGCAAAGAAGGTACAAATCTCCTGAAAACAATTTTAAGAAGGGAGCCATTTATAGTACTTTACGCTACAAATGACCAGACTTACTGTTGTGATTAGCTGGGAAACAGAACTGCAGAAGCCTTAAATCGCAAATCTATCACATTTCCAGCATAATGCAGTTTGCTGGCGGCAGACCAGAGGAGAAGTAGTCAGTGGAGTCTATTTCTCAGATTCTTTCCCCAACACCTTTAGCACCAAAATGTCATGAGACTTCGTCTTACTTTACACGAGAGCATCCTTTCAATTCCTCTCCCACCAGGAAAGGTGGTGGGGGAAACTGACCAGAGAAACTGGCACAGGGATCAGCTTTCAAAAGAAAAGCCCTTCTCTTCATCCACTACACTCCTTTCAACTTCTGAAAGTAAAAAACGCCTCCTAAAATTCCTTCCTTATCCACACCTTCAATTTCTTAATAAAAATAAAAACCACCAAGATCCCATTACTATGGTATTACGCTGCTCAAGGACTGCTGCCTGCAAATCTCTCCAAGAGTCCCTCAAAACCACGTAAAGCATAAATGTAGAAGAAATTTACACTCTCACCTCTCAAAACTCCCCTCTAACTTTACTCGTGGGAATATCTAATGGGGGGTGGGGGGACTTCCCCACCCCACCCCTATTTTAAGTTGCATCAGCTCCTACCTGCACAGCTGAACAAACCACAGAGGTTGGGCACTGGCTCCCAGAATTACTTAAAATAAAGCGGAAAGACGATTCGGGGGTGGGCGATGGAGGAGGAGGGGAGAAAGGAGAGCTGGTGAGAGCCAATCCTCAACTGCATCCAAGCAGAGGCAGCAACGGGTCTGGCTCGGGGGAATGCAGGAGAGGGTATAGGGAAGAGAATGGGGAGGGCAAAGTGGGGTGGGGGGGTGAGGTGAGAGCGGCTGGAGATTCAAGGTGGGTGCCCGGTAAGAAAAGCAAAGTCGGGGAAAGCCCCAGCCGTGGAGTAGGTCGCTTTCTCCGAATCAGGGGAACCCGAGGAAGACAAGCAGCAGTAGCGGCGGTGGTGGCTCTCACCGTCTTCGGGGTGCAGGGGCAGCTTCAGGGGGTTCTCCAGCAGGGACTTGAGCACGCCGTAAGTGGGAGGGATGAACGTGGGGTTCAAGGGGAGCGGTCGGGACATTTTCTCCATCTCGTTGTACTAGATTTTTTTTTCTTTTCTTCTCTTTTCTGTTTGCCAAAAAAAAACCCCTCCTTTTCCCCCCCAAATCCCCCAGCCCCAATTTGCTTTTCCTTCCTCTGTCAATGTGTACTCCTCCCAGGCGGTGGGGAAGCCAGGGGAGTGTAAGGGAAATTATGCTAATATAATCAAGTGCATAGACACACACACATAAAAATGAAAAATACAGAAGTTTCAGGAAATAGCTGGTCCTGGGCAAGCGGCCGAAGTGCAAGACAGGCTCCAATAAGACCCTTCTCAGATCCCCCTCCCCTGCAAAATGTTACTTAGGGCGAAAATTGCAAAAACAACGGAGGGGACAGTAAAATTAAAAAATGCACGGCATAGCCTGATCACCCGCGCCCCAAAAGCCCGAGGCCGTGCGTGTTACCCACCCCCACCCCCCCTCCCCGAGGCTGCTGCTGCTCCTGCTCCTGCTTCTGCTCCCAGCTCTTGGCCCACAGCAGCCCGCTCAGTGCATTCGGCAGCCCATGTGCAGGGACGCAGGCAAAAGTGACGTCAGGGCCCGCACCGCTCCCCCATAGGCGTGCGGGGGCGGGGCCACTACCCCCCTTCCCTCGGCTCCCTGCCTCTGCCTCCCCCCCTCCTCCGACCACCGCCGTCACGATACTGAGTTTGGCGTCGTCGCGCGCGTCTTTCCCGGGCGCTGAGTTACAAGCACCTAGAGCACGGGGTGGGGTGGGACCCCCAAGAGGTTTCCCGGCTGACTTTCCTAGCAAGGCATTAGTCGGGGGTGCGGTGAAGGGCGGTGGATAGCGAGGATGCAGAGAACAGGTCTCCTGGACCCCGCCCCCTTTGGAAGCCCTACCTCCCATCCTTTCTCCTGGAAGATCTCCTTAAAATTAGTTAGGAAGACGAGGGAAAGGTGGAGCGTGGAGCAGAGGTGGGAACTGAGCTGGAGGGAGTCGTTTCCAGGGCATCCTGGAGATGTCTTAAGGACTTTGTATGATGGGCTTGAATCGCATGCCCCACGGAACAGAGACAGGCTGGGCTCTGAATGAATGAATGAAGCAAGCAAGCATCTTTTAAGCATTTACTATGCTCAAAGTAAGGTCTGGAGATACAAACAGTGTAGCAAGACAGTGCCTGCTCTCAAAGGAGCTCTCATTCTAATGGGGGACACAACACATATGGAAGGTTTCAGCTTCAAATCAGATGGAAAGTCTCATGGTCCTTAGGGTGCAGGGACGAAGCAGATGGTAATGCCTCTTTAATGCCATTGCCGCTGATAAAAACCCTGTTTCTGGGGGATATTAGCATGTCAAAGAACCCAGGGAGATTTGGGGATAGGAATAGGGACTAACTATTCCTCTGATTTTATTGGTATGGTAAATTCCCTCCACCAATGTAGGTAGCCACCTTCACTGAAGCTTTTCGCCCTAAGAGCCTAGAGTATTTGGAAGGCTGTAAAAAGCATCATCTGAAGGAATGGGCTTTTTTAGCATCCACCCTCCAAGAATCGTGACAACCTTGATGTCTGTCAATCGGATAGTAAATCTATCCATCAGATGTCTGTCAATCAGTCGCTTTTCTGTTGCAACCAGGACAGGTCCAGGAGGCTTGGGAGATAATGCTTCAATACTGGTCCCTTGGGATCATGAGAGAACATGAAAAACTAGGATAATATAAGCAAATTTTCTCTCATCTTCTTGCTAAAGCAGTGATTGAGATAGTATCTCATCACGTTTGCAAAGCTTGCTTGGGGCTAATATCCTGATGTGAGGGAAGGAACATGATTCTAATTCTATCTCTACCTCTTGTTTAGCTGTATGACTTTGGAAAGGTCACTTCACTGGGCCTCTGTTTCCTCTATAAAGTGAAAAGTTTCTACAACACTAGGTGATTTCCAACTTTCCTTCAACCTCTAAATTGCTATAAAACTCTATGGTCTCCAACAGCACACTCCACTGGATTCTTTGGACTCTACTCCTGGCTTCTCCTCCTCACAGATGAAATTTTTGCCTTATCTTCCTGGGTACCTCACCAGGCCTCAGGCTGGGTACTCTCCTAGGGGTGCAAATCTGGCCTTAGACACTTATTAACTTTGTGACCTCACTGATCAAGTCACTTAACCTCTGTCTGCCTCAGTGTCCTTAATTGTAAAATCAGGGTAAATAATAGCACTAGCTCCCAGGGTTGTTGGGAGGATCAAATGGAGAATATTTGTTTGGATTTGTCTTCTTAAAGAATTTAGCACAGTGCCTGGCACATAGTAGGAACTATATAAGTGCTTATTCCCCATCCTCGCCTTCCTCCCCCCCACCCTCTTTCTAGCATCCCTTTATATATCTTCATTCATTAGACTGTAAACTTCTTGAGGGGAAGGATTATCCTGTTTTCTTGTATTTGTGTCCCCAGCATTTAGCACAAGGCCTGGCCTTGTAAGTGCTTAATAAATGCTCCTCCCTATCCATCTAACTATATGTCTCTCTCTATCCATTCTTTTCCTTAGCTAAGAAGACAAGTGTCTAAAATTTAATTAAAATAATTAATAATTTAGGCAAAGAAGCAGAATATAAAATAAATCCACATCAGCAGGAAGAGCTTTCTCTTACTTGGAGCATGCACCCCATTAGATTGCTTAGTAGATTGCATCTCTCCTTAGGGAGTCTGGAAACCTGCTTCCAGGATAGTTATCATAATGAGAAACAGAAGAGCCTTGGAGAGACTGGAGGAAGCATAAATATTTTTTAATTGTTTTTATTTTTCGATGTATTTATTAGGAGGTTCTTTGATTGGCTATGGAGACATTCAAAAAGGCTTTAACTATGGATTCTTTCAGGGATCTTAAGTAACTTTTGAGATTGACTTGATTATGACATCCAGTGAGAGACTGTACTGTAAGGAGGTAAGGCTAAGTGGCGTTGAGAAGCAGATATTGGTCCTTTCTACTCTTCTCTTCTCTTCTTTTCTCTTCTCTTCTCTTCTCTCCTCTTCTCTTCTCTCCTCTTCTCTTTTCCTCTCCTCTCCTCTCCTCTCCTCTTCTCTTTTCCTCTCCTCTCCTCTCCTCTTCTCTTTTCCTCTCCTCTCCTTTCCTCTCCTCTCCTCTCCTCTCCTCTCCTCTCCTCTCTCTCTCCTCTCCTCTCCTCTCCTCTCCTCTCCTCTCCTCTCCTCTCCTCTCCTCTCCTCTCCTCTCCTCTCCTCTCCTCTTCTCTCCTCTCCTCTCCTCTCCTCTCTTCTTTTCTCTCCTCAAACTAGGGAGCTAAAAAGACTGCCAGGTTCCAGTGTTCCAGAATCTGGATTCCAGAGGCAACTGATGTCCTGAGGAACAAGGAGTAATCTTTGGAGGTGACTCTTGGGACCCCAGCCCAGTGGAAGAACTCATCTGGAAATGAACTTGTTGCTACCAATGCTAAATAGAAACTGAACTAAATAGTAGTTTTGCACAGTTATCTTGAAATTACATTTGAAATTTTAAATAACTAAAAAATGTATAAATTGTTTGAGTCCACCTACCAAGACTGCACTGGAACTGAAGATAATTATAAAATGCTATTTACAGAAATAAAAACATACCTAAATTTAAAAAGAAAAGAAAAGAAAACTAGGGTCTCTATTTCTGGAGACCTTTTGCTATCCGATCAGGATGACAAATACTCAATTGCCTAAAGCAAGAGTCTGTACCAGATAATTATATTGAAATAAAGATGTGATTTTCCCCCCAAGTTCACAGGACCCCAAAATCTATAACCTCTTGGGGTAGAAGTGTCTCACTGCAGCCCACTGGCTGCCAGGGCCTCACAAAACTCAGCTTACCTGTATGAATCGGAAATTTTAAACAGAATAAATTAAAAAATACAACAAATAATGTTAATTTGTGGTTTTTTCAGTCAACATGTGGCCCACAGAGATCCATTTCTATTTGAGTTTGACAAGGATTCCTTTTGTAGAAGTTTAGGTTTGGATTTTTGCAACTGAGGAGGTTGGGACTGCTCTTCTAGAGGCATGGGAAGAGCAAAGCAGAAGGACTGGGGTGATGTTGGTTACAACTATCAGCATTCAAGCATCTTTATCTGCCCATGTATGCATGGTACCATATAAAAAAGATAGGGCAGGAACTTTAAACTTTTTGATAACGATGTCAATATAATTGGTTCCCTTTATAATCTTACATGTTTGGTATTATGTATTTAAAAACATTATTTGTTGAAGGGGTTGATCGATAAACTTTAAGGAATTGTCAAAGAAGCCCCCGACACAGAAAAATTGTCACGAAGCCCAGCCCTAGAATCTTATCTACGCCAATAAGGACAACTTCCTACATGGTAACACCAGGGTGATCCTTGATTACCTCAATCATAGGATCTCCTGTGCTTATAAAGATAAGGCATATAGTAGGTACCTAATAAACGCCTGTTAATTTGACAGAGCTTTGTACATCTTTAAAACACTCCATAAATCCATGATGGTGATTTGAATTTCTTTCTTATGTGTCAGAGACTTTCATAATGGGAAGGGCCCATTCTAGAGGATTTTCTTATCCTCTTAGAGTACTTATCTAGCATGTGACCCCATCTTAACTCCCTAATCTCTCTCCCTCCCCTTCCCTCAGTCTTCTTCCCAATTTTCGGGTACATCATTCACAATATTAGGACAGCTAGGTGGTACCACAGTGCACAGGGCACTCATCTTCCTGAGTTCAAATCTGGCCTCAGACACTTCCTAGCTCTGTGACCCTGGGCAAGTCACTTAATTCCATTTGTCTCAGTTTCCTCATCTGTAAAATGAGCTGGAGAAGAAAATGGCAACCCACTCCAGTATCTCTGCCAAGAAAACCCCAAATGGGGTCACAAAGAATCAGTCATGACTAAAACAACTGAACTATAATAACTCACAATATTACAGAATAAAGTTTTATGAAAACAAAGTAGATAGTCTTGATTGAGTAGTCATTAGCCCCAAATGAGTATGTAAATCCCTACAGTGGTTTCTACCCATAAGCATGAGAGTTATTCTCATGAAGGCCCTGCCCCACAGCTCTTGTTGGGGCCTGTGGCTTAGAGATGCTACAAGGGGGTGGGGTAGTAGTAGTAGTGTTTCCTTCTGTCTCTTACTTCATACCAATATTCATGGCTCAATCATGCACAATCCACCAGTTTTTCAGGTGGAGACCTGCATCTCTTTAAAGTCCTCCAACCTTTGATTCCATATTTTTGGTGCAAAAGGAGAGCACAACACATACCCTCAATAATTTTCTCCTTTTTACCCTGACTTTCTCACCCCCAACCCCTTTCCCCTTCCACTTGTTGCACGTGGGCCCAGAATCCACTAGGAGATCAGGCTTGGTAGTATTTAGAAATGTTTTCAAGGATCTCTGCCACAAAAGTCCATCTTTTAAATCCAGTATTTTTCCTGCTCAGCCCCTTACATATGCAGATCTTGGGGAAAAAAAAACA